ATTTTTTCCTTGTTTCACTGAATTGTTGTTTTGGAATAAGTACAAAAAATATTTGGATTGTGATTTTGGAATATACAAACAAACGTTGGATTGTGGTCCCTTTATGATTGTTCATTCCAACCTCCCTCTCCCTGGTCACCAGGTGAAGTATTGGATCTATGGGGATCCTGAGGCTGACGCCCAGGTGATGGATGTGAAGACAACCCATGCTGAGCTGGCCAACCTGTACCCCTATTGTGACTATGAGATGAAAGTGTGTGGCTACAACGGCCTGGGAGACGGAAGCTACAGCGACATGGTGCCCTGTCAAACCCTGGAGGATGGTGAGTGAGGTCACGTCCTGTTCCTGTCTAAAGATGTACTACATATATTTTATTTGAAAAAACTACAATTCTAGGATTGTGGACCGTTTTCTTTCTTAGTTGAATGTTGTTGGGTCGACACGGCACGTAAGCTCAAAGATTGTGTAGATAGTTTTCTGCCTTTCGTACCTTGTGATTCACTTCCTGTCTCCTTTCTCCTCCAGTCCCCAGTGAGCCCGGCCGTCTGGCGTTTAACGTCATCAGTCCAACTGTCACTCAGGTCAGCTGGGCGGAGCCTGCAGAGACCAATGGTGTCATCACCGCCTACGAGGTTCTCTACACGCCCATCAATGACGACACGAGTGAGTGACCAATCAAATCAAAAGAATCTCGGAATTATGTCTGTGCTTTTAAGACTTTCTAAAGGACCACACACACCACACTGAATGTTGATCTGCCGTTCGTCTGCTGGTCATTCGCGCTGTGTTTTAGTCTGACTGACAACATTTTCATGCTATTCTACATGTAAAATCGGTTTGCACTCGGTTCGCAAATTACGGCCGGCACTCTGTTTAGAGGTGCTAAGTACTCTCGGCCGGCAAACGCTACTGGTGTGTCCGAGTCTCAACACATTCTCCTCTCCCTCCCTCTTCCCCTGTAGAGCCGATGGGTGCAGCTAAGAAGGTGAAGATAGACAACCCTAAGAAGAGGATGTTGCTGATTGAGAACCTGCAGTTAGCCCAGACCTACTGCTATAAGGTCCGTGCTAAGAACAGCGTTGGCTGGGGTCCCTTCAAAGAAGCTACCATCAACCTGGCCTCCCAGCCCACCAGACCCATGTCCAGTGAGTAAATTAGAGCAGAAGAGACGTTCCGTCTAGAAGGGCATCTAATATGATCTTGATTGTTACTGCTAAACATTTGTGTCTAGCAAACCAGAAAGCGAATGTTTCAAGAGAGCTTGCCTTAATCCATCGCTCTTCCTCTCCTCCTCCCCCCCCCTCCTCTCCTCCTCCTCCCCTCCTCCTCCCCTCCTCCTCTCCTCCTCCCCTCCTCCTCTCCTCCTCCTCTCCTCCTCTCCTCCTCCCCTCCTCCCTCTCTCCTCCCCCCCCCCTCCTACCTGTAGTCCCTATCATCCCAGACATCCCTATAGTGGACGCGGAGGCGGGCGATGAGTACGACGGCTATCTGATGTACAGCAGTGAGGTCATGAAATCACCAACAGGCTCCAAGAGACCCAGCGTCTCAGACGAAGGTGGGTACCCACAGACTACGGCACCTTTCCTGGCTGGTATTATGCGTCTCTCTGCAGTCTATCTTCAGTGGTGTACTGGGAGTTTGGTTTTGTATTGTGTTTTGAGTGGACCCAGAGGAAGAATAGTTGTTGCTAATTAACAGCTAATGGGGATGAAGCTCGCTGTGTTGATCACCAAAGGGATTTTTCCATGTTGGCTTGTTGTTTTAGATTTACACGTGTTGGGCCAGTAGCCCGCTAATGAAGCCAGTGAGCTTCAGTGCTCTGTGAAACCGAGTGAATGCAGACTGGACAGGACAGGACAGTTATAGATGGGTTCCGTGGAGCAGAAAGAGACGTGTCTATCCATCTTCTGTAGTCCAGTCCTCTGCTCACTGAAGCAGACAGAGAAAGAAAGAGAAACTGAAAAAAGGTCTTAAAGTGTCACGGTCAAAATGGCAGACAAAATAGGAGGGTCTCCTCCATTGCTCTCGCTCTCTTTCACTTTCTGTCTCTGTTTTCATTCTTTCTCTTTATTTATTTATTTCCTTCTCCCCCCCTCTCTCTCTCTCTCTCTCTCTCTCTCTCTCTGAAGTGTCTTTTAATAAACAGACTTTATTTTAGACCATCAGATCACAAAATGGTGTCTCTTCTTTATATTCTTCTTCATGGCTTTATCATGCCAGTCAAACCTCTCCTGTCGTTGCTCTGTAGTTTAGATAACACATAATCTACATACATCCAGCCTCCTCCTCTTCCTCCTCTGTCAACTCCTTCTAATCACCTCGCTTCACAAAAACAACTGCCATGCCAACCATCAATCCAGACCCCCCCCCCCCCCCGCCTGCTTGCCTCTCCTCTCCATAACAAGGCTTTATCAAGTTGGTGGGTTCCAAGCTGGACCTGCGTTCGGTGTCCTGGAAGAGGCATGTGGATGTGATCCCCTACCGCCTCAGCACAGACACAGAGACCAGCACCGACGAGACCCCCCGGCCCAGCCGAACACAGACACCCCATCAAGGTGAAGTCCACTAGACAACAGACAGATGGCATGCCAGCTACTGTGTACGTCAGGCACAAACCACCCAATGCAGCTGCAGAGCCCCCTATACCACCACCTCTGTCTGCACAAAGTCTTCAGATCTCTAATCAACATCACGTTTCCGCCCTCCAATCTACCCCTACCCCTGGTTCTGGTCTGGCCTCTTCCCCTGTTGCACCTCAACCCTCCCACCCAAAGGGTCTTCACTTCCAGGCATCAACTGCCCCACCGCCAGTTGATGGTCATGACAGGATTTTCCAGGTGCGCCTCTGTCTCTCCTGTCTGCACTCTTTACACCTCTATGTGGAGAGATGCCCTGGGAAGTAGGCAGGTTAAGTTTAGGCATTAACTCCAAAATATTAAGGTTAGGCATTAACTCTGAATGGTTAAGGGTTAGGGTTAGGCATTAACTCTGAATGGTTAAGGTAAGGGTTACAGTTTGGGATAGGCTTACAGCAAAAAATCTCAAAAACTACTTTTCTATCGCTGGATTCGAACATGCAACCTTTTGATGCTTACGCCCAGCCACCATCCCCGTCCACAATGCCCTAGCAAAACTGAAACCTACTTGAAGGTAACAGCGCTCACTGTTGCCCCTAGTGGCCGGTTTCCACCTCATCTCCTGATGTCCTCAGGTGGATGGATGGACGTCTAATACTGATTTGTATCACGGTTGACCTGGCTATGTATAAAGGCCTCTCATGGCTGTGAAAGTGGTGATACCAAATATATGTATGTCCCTGTGTTCAGTCTAAGGTTGTAAGGTGGCCGTTTCTCTTGCAGTTTGTTGTGATTTGCCGCTATTGACATACTTTAATCAATTATTTTTTTTCAAGATTTTCTGTTTGGGTTATGTTGGGTTCCAGAATGTTTGGTTTGGGTTATGTTGGGTTCCACAATGTTTGGTTTGGGTTATGTTGGGTTCCAGAATGTTTGGATTGGGTTATGTTGGGTTCCAGAATGTTTGGTTTGGGTTATGTTGGGTTCCAGAATGTTTGGTTTGGGTTATGTTGGGTTCCAGAATGTTTGGATTGGGTTATGTTGGGTTACAGAATGTTTGGTTTGGGTTATGTTGGGTTCCAGAATGTTCTTGATGTTCTTTCTCCTCTGGCTCTCCTCTATCATTCAGAACCAACGAACGGCAGGTTGGAACAGAACTTCCTCTTCCCCGGGGGTAATAATTCCATGTCGCGCAGTGCCAAAATGTCTTCATCCAGCTACAGCCAGGTGTCTCCCATGTCCACCCTCAGCTCCAGCCACCGAGGAGGGGCCGGGGGGTCCATGACCACAGAGTCCACCACAACATACCTCTCTGGACAAGGTACGGATGGATGCAGATTCTTTCTCAAAATGTGTCAGCTTTTGAATCTTTCTGTTGACTTACGATGATATGACAGTGGCAAGTAATTCCAGCTGGCTTGTCTTCACCAGAACAGTACCCTATACAGAGTTCAGCAAACTTGGAGATTTCGAGTTTCAATGCGAAACGTGTTGACACCAAAAGTTTGACGACCTTGCACTCAGAATCGATGTATTTGGTAGTCATCATTATTCTACGCCTGTCTCTTCTCCTCTCCTACAGGAGGAAACTCTCTCTCCCGCACACAGGTGATTGGGGGCGGGACGCGCACAGAGAATGTTGTCATGAGGAAGCGATCAGAGAACAGAGGTTACTATGAGTATGACGACAACATCCGAGATTCCATCGTCATAGGAGACCTGTCCAGTGGATTGTCTGGATACACAGATGGCCAAAGTAAGATTAGTTGAAGTTTAAACATATATTTTTAAGCATATTTTCAGCTCTTTGAGTTTAAAGAGCTGATAATTTACAGTCCACACTGACACAGGTCACAGGCATGAGGTTACACCGAGCCATTGAGATGAGGTCTTTGACTATGAGGTCTTTGACTATGAGTTCTTTGCTAATCCGTCACATAGTTTTCAGATCTTTCTGACCTCTACTGTTAAAAGCTGGAAGAAGCTCATCTGTTTGTCTGTAGCAATCATGGCTATAAATGTCATATATACAAATAATCTACAGCAGGCTTACTGATGAGGTGCATGAGGCGGATGGCTTGGATATCTGTTATCGATTACTGGGGTTGGTGGCTTCACAGAGCTATGCAGGCGCTATGCTGACTGTCGCTCTCCTCTTCTCCTGTTGTTCTCCATCCTTCAATCCTCTCCTCTCTCTCGCTCTCTCTCCTCCCTCCTTTTCCTCCCTCTGTTACTTCCCCCACTCTTTCACTTCCTTCCCTCCCTCTCCTGTCCTCCTTCTCCTTCCTTTTGCTCCCTTTTGCTTGCTCCCTGCATCCTCAGGTACGTATGGCTTCAGCCCCGCTCAGTCACAGAGCCAGTACGCCTACAGTATGTCTCAGGCCTTCCGGGCCAGGACCCAGTCTGAGGATGTCAACGATGCACTGCTGAACCTAGACAGGGTGCTCCAGGGTGAGTCTGTCTGTCTGTCTGCAGCACACACAGCTGTCCTCTCTCACACCACTGGGACAATAGCAGGGCCTGAAGAGCACTATGGCTGCATGGTAGGGCTTACCATGCCCATAGCTAGTGTTACAGGAAGGCTTTGTGTTGCTGAAGCAGTTTTTTTGGTGTGATGCATGTTTTTTTTTTTTTTATAGGGAAAGCTATCTCTTTCTCCGTCTTTCTCTCACTCTCACTCTCTCTCTCTGCATCACGCTCACGCCCCTCTCACTAATCCGATCTAATTTAGTGATAGTCTATGTAACTCCTGTAATTTTGACTCCACTTAACCCCTAACCTCCCTCCTTCCCTAAACCCATCTCTCTCTCTCCCCTTCTCTCATTTACATATTTTTCTCTCCCCCGTCAGAATCTCCTTTGGCCCCTGGGGTCCCTGACACCCCCAGCAGGCTGATATTCTCTGCCCTGGGCCCTACGGCCCTGAAGATTAGCTGGCAGGAGCCCCACTGTGACAGGGATGTTCTGGGGTACTGTGTCCTCTACCAGCTGCTCAATGGAGGTATGGACCCATGACCATCTGTCACATTGTGAACACGTTGAGGGTATAGACCCATGACGATTTGTCACATTCTGAACACGTTGTGTTTTGTTGATGTGCAGAAGAATAATATTGTTTTTCACTTGGAACCTGTTAACATAGTTGTCAGGTTTGATTGAATAGGATCCTGAAATTGAGATCCGAACCGAATTGGATCTGTGAAATTCCCTTCCGACATTGACAGGACCCGGTAATTTTTTTTGAAAATCAATACCCGATCCGATCCAAAATATGTCAGAGATGAGGTAGAATCAGATCCAAACTGGATCGGGTCTGTGTCAGACTGAAATGGATCTACATTTACATTTTTACATTTTAGTCATTTAGCAGACGCTCTTATCCAGAGCGACTTACAGGAGCAATTAGGGTTAAGTGCCTTGCTTAAGGGCACATCAACAGATTTTTCACCTAGTCGGCTCGGGGATTAGAACCAGCGACCTTTCGGTTACTGGCACAACGCTCTTACCCACTAAGCTATCTCCCGCCGTAAGCTGTAGTGTAGACCACGACTCAATTATTTTAGATAGGCCTACAACAGAAAATGCATGTGAACCGTTAATGCAGCTTCATTGCTGCGCACGCCAACATAATTGTTTTGGCTTGTCTGTTAGACAGTGAACATTAACGGTTCACATGCATTTTCTGTTGTAGGCCTATCTAAAATAATTGAGTCGTGGTCTACACTACAGCTTACGGCGGGAGATAGCTACACTACAGCTTAGTGTTTTCATAAATGACATCCCTCATTTAAAATGTGGACACAGTGAGAAGGGAAGGGGTGTGTGGTGATGTCACTACTAGTCTTGTCTCTGCAGAATGATCTCTGTTTCCCGCTAATTAATGTGCATTCATTGTTTCATTGTGTGAATTGTTTGTTAATGTTTATTTTTTATATTTTTTGTTAGAGCACGCATAGAAGTACCTGGCCTGTGTGCAAATGTAGGCCTAGAAAAGTTGCCATTTGGGGATGTCTGATAATATTTCTGATCGTCTTAACTAACCACCATGTATGATCTGCGGAGCTTCTCAAAGTGGTTGTTCCATCGCCTCACACAGGAAGTCAACAGAGTGTTTTACAACCATTGTGAACGACAATAGTTCCTCACTCTTTCTCGATAGGCCTAAGTAACCACCACGCCTCGTGTGAAATAGCAACATATTGCTGATCCCATATCTCCAGTGGAAAACAGTGAAGGCCCAGTTGAAACAATGTTGCAAGTTCGCTTCAGCGAGATCTCAAGCCAGACAGAGAGGCAGACAGGAGGAGGAGAGAGATGAATCCTACTTACTGAACCAACTGCCATGCGTAGCAAATGTGATTTATAGAGGATATTTATTTATCATCAGGATATTTTCTTCAAATATAGTTTGGGATCTGGGCAGCATTTCACATATGATCAGACTGATCCGAGGTCCGTGGCCGCCGAGCATTATCCGAGGGTCAACTACCGTATTTTGGATCCAACCTGTTCGGATACCGAGTCGGATCTCGGGTATATGCGTGAAGACCTCTACATCAAGCTATGCCATATATACAAAAGTATGTGGACACCACTTCAAATTGGTGGATTCTACTATTTCAGCCCCACCCGTTGCTAATAGGTGTATAAAATTGAGCACACAGCCATGCAATCTCCATAGAAAAACATTGGCAGTAGAATGGCCTTAATCCTTGATCACACTGACAGCGTAATTCAGATACCGGGTCGGATCTCGGGTAGGATCTTGGGTAATCGGGTTTGGGTATATCCGTGAAGACTTCTGGTAGGATTTGAAGAAAGCCCTATCAACTTTTTTAGATCTCATAGCCTTGCCCCAGCATCCCTCTACAGTAATATTAAACCCCTTGTCTCTCTCTCCAGGTGATGTGAAGCGTATAAACATGTCCAGCCCAGCAGACAACTCTGTGGTGGTGCAAGACCTGCTGCCTAACCACTCCTACCTGTTCAAGGTGAAGGCTCAGAGTCAGGAAGGCTGGGGACAGGAGAGGGAGGGAGTCATCACCATAGAGTCAGCTGTGGACCCCAACAGCCCACTCAGCCCAATGCCAGGTAATCAGCGATACGTCTTTGCCTCCCATTGTGGATCCTTCGTATCCTCACTCCTTTGGTTAGCTGATTCGCCTCTGACCTATGACCTCTAGCTCTCTGTTTCTGATTTACTCAACATTTACTTTCTCGGCTCTGAATTCCCACTTTACGACGGTGCTTTGCGCTCAGGCCAGCTCTCCCACACAAAGCAGGACCCAGGAAGCGAGAGAGCCCCGGGATCACTCTCCCTGCGACTCTCTCGGAAAAGATCTCTCGAAAAAAAAAGGGCAGATCTGAGCGATCAGTCTCTCCCTCTTCTCTGCTCATCTCTCTCCTCGCTCTCTCGCTCCCCCCCACTCCTCTCTCTCTCTCTCCTCTCTCTCTCTCTCTATCCCCCCCCTCCCCCCCCTTCCAGGTTCTCCCTTCACTCTCAGTACCCCCAGTGCTCCCGGCCCCCTGGTGTTCACAGCTCTGTCCCCCGAGGCACTGCAGCTGAGCTGGGAAAAACCCCGCAAACCCAACGGAGACATCCTGGGCTACGTGGTCACCTGTGAACATCTGCACGGAGGAGGTGAGACTGAGCACTGACTCCAGATCAGATTTGGGGGATTTTAGAGCTTTTTGTCAATAGTCATTTGCTAGGATTTATACATTGACGTGATCAACAGAGACACATGTCAATTTTGCCGGTCTTCTTGACTTGTTATGGACAATGCTAGTAAATGACCATTAACTTTCGTAGTCCTGTTTATGTTCACTTTCATTACCTATTCTAATCCCCACTTTCCCCCTTCTCTCCATCTCCCCTCCAGGTGACGTGCGTTCCTTCCAGGTGAGCGGTGACAGCGCTGAGACCAGTCTGACGGTTCCGGACCTGATTGAGAACATGCCGTACAAGTTCAAAGTTCAGGCCAGGACGACCGAGGGCTTCGGCCCCGAGAGGGAGGGCATCATCACCATCGAGTCTCAGGATGGGGGTAAGAGGACAGTCTCTTTTATCTTGGATTTTATTTAGTGTTTAAATTGAAATGAATAAGGTGTCGGTACTCACTTTAAGTTGACCATACTGGGTTTCATATTTAGAAGCCAGTATTCTATACGTTTGTACATTTGGAATGATATTGTATACTAATGTATGATTCTCTGTCCCTCCTTCTCCCTTCTGCAGGAGACATGTCTCAACTAGGAGGACTAGGAGGCATGTCTCAACTAGGAGGACTAGGAGGCATGTCTCAACTAGGAGGACTAGGAGGCATGTCTCAACTAGGAGGTCTAGGCGGCATGTCTCAACTAGGAGGACTAGGCGGCATGTCTCAACTAGGAGGACTAGGAGGCATGTCTCAACTAGGAGGACTAGGAGGCATGTCTCAACTAGGAGGACTAGGCGGCATGTCTCAGTACAGCAGTCAGTCCTCGACCAAGAGAGAAGTGTACCAACTTCCAACAGAGGGCAGCACACACACCAACGTTACACACACCATGATCAACGACCCCAGCACACACACCAACGTTACACACACCATGATCAACGACCCCTACCACTCAGGTAGTGTATCAATTTAATACATTTATTTGTCTCTCACTCTGTCTCTCACTCACTCATTCTGTCACTCTCTCACTCACTCCCTCACACAAACAGACAGCGTCTCATCCTCCCTCACACTCTTAACCCCCTCTCCTCCCCCTAGGAGACGGTATGATTATGATGGGACACACAGAGACCAGCGGCATGGTGACACGTCATGTGACGAAGGAGGTGGTCCAGAGGAGCATGCAGGTGGCCGGCACCAGCAGCGTCACCAAGAAGGTTGAGAGGTCAGTCTACAAGTCCTGAAGTCAAAGGTCAGCAACAAGATGGCGGCGTCCATGGTGCCCAACATGTCCTCCTCTCCTCTCTGTCTGTTACAAACAATGGCTCCTGTCCTGTCCTACCATCTGTCGGACATGGGATTCATTTCATTCTTAATTATTTCGTTTATAGTTTTGTCGCTTGTTTCTATTTTGTTGGAAACATTTTACGTTCAAAGAAATCTACCACCCCAACAAAGATGTGTCTTGTTGGAAGTCTGTAATTTGTACAAATACTACTCATGGCTCACTCTATTGCTTCTACCTGCCATCACACTGAGGCTTTAGATAAGGCCACTACACTTATCTGAGGTCAGTTCTCAATAGTTAAAGTTGAGTCGGCTCCTGCTAATATATCTTTTGACAGAGATTAGCGGAGAGATGAAGAGAGTATGTAAGAGTTTTTGTACTGGTTGGCTGCTTTGGCGACTATATGTCTGCAAATGTCTGCAGTTTGTTAAATTGATGATATGCCTGCCAGTACCTTAAATTATGTTATTTTGTAGGGGTTCATAGTGCATTTTACTATTGGATTGTTGGTAACTCTCACAGCCATTACATATATATTAGACTGATGTGTTTTCTGTATGTCTGAAGAAATGGAATTGAAATGTTGATGCCAAATACTGTATTGCAATGTATTGTTTGTGTAAAAACATGTTTTGCCAATTTCATTTCCTTTATTATTTCCCATCCATATCTGAACAAAGTTAATGCATTCATAATGGTCCTCTGTAGCTCAGTTGGTAGAGCATAGCACTTGCAACTCCAGGGTAGTGGGTTCGATTCCCAGAACCACCCATACCACCCTTAAAAATAGATATATATGCCACCCATGACTGTATGTCGCTTTGGATAAAAGAGTCTGCTAAATCGCATATATTACATTTATAATGTAGATATAACCTCAAATAAGGCATTCCCAGGTAACAGCATTTCATAGTTAAAATGTGTATATCTCATTACTGTGTCATTGTTTCAGAATGCTTCAGTCTAAAAAACCTTTTGTGTCTAACGAATATATTCTAGCAATAGATCGAGGTATATGTTTTGAGACAAAAACATTGTATTGTCTTCATAATGCATTTTCAAACCTATGCTGTGCTTTGGTTCAATGAAAAATGCTGTCCATTGTAAAGAGTCCTTACACTTAGTAAGACATGGCGAGATGAATTAGGAGATTAATTTGATGGATTTGTTGTGAATAGTCATATTAACATTTCATAAATATACCAAAAATGTAAAAGGCAAACCATTTTTATACTTTTTCATCATATCTATTCATCAGTTACTTACTGTTTTTTATATCTGTCTATTTTATTACACTTAATAAAGATTGAATATAAACCACCTCTAGGTGCATTTCTGTCTATGCTCATGTATAGGTTAGCTAACTACCGGTAATTTACCAAAGTTACCAGAATTGTCACAAATGTTGGTAATTTGGGTAATTTATACTTGAATACGCATTTTTTTATTTTTTATATATATACAGTGCATTCGGAAAGTATTCAGACCCCTTGACTTTTTCCATATTTTGTTACGTTACAGCCTTATTCTAAAATTGATTACATTATTTTTTCCCCTCATCAATCTACACACAATACCCATAATGACGAAGTGAAAATTGGTTTTTAGACATTTTTGCACATTTATTAAAAATAGAAAACAAAAACCAAGCCATGAGGTCGAAGGAATTGTCTGTAGAGCTCCGAGACACGATTGTGTTGAGGCACAGATCTGAGGAACGATACCAAAACATTTCTGCAGCATTGAAGGTCCACTAGAAAACAGTGGCCTCCATCGTTCTTAAATGGAAGAAGTTTGGAACCAAGACTCTTCCTAGAGCTGGCCGCCCGGCCAAACAATCGGGGGAGAAGGGCCTTGGTCAGGGAGGTGACCAAGAACCCGATGGTCACTCTGACAGAGCTCCAGAGTTCCTCTGTGGAGATGGAAGAACCTTCCAGAAGGACAGCCATCTCTGCAGCACTCCACAAATCAGGCCTTTATGGTAGAGTGGCCAGACCGGAAGCCACTCCTCAGTAAAAGGCACATGACAGCCCACTTGGAGTTTGCCAAAAGGCACCTAAAGAACTCTCAGACCATGAGAAACAAGATTATCTGGTCTGATGAAACCAAGATTGAACTCTTTGGCCTGAATGCCAAGCGTCACGTCTGGAGGAAACCTGGCACCATCTCTATGGTAAAGCATGGTGGTGGCAGCATCATGCCGTGGGGATGTTTTTCAGCGGCAGGGACTGGGAGACTATTCAGGATCGAGGGAAAGATGAACGGAGCAAAGTACAGAGAGATTATTGATGAAAGCCTGAGCGCTCAGGACCTCAGACTGGGGCGAAGGTTCACCTTCCAACAGGACAACGACCCTAAGCACACATCCAAGACAACGCAGGAGTGGCTTCGGGACAAGTCTCTGAATGTCCTTGAGTGGCCCAGCCAGAGCCTGCACTTGAACCCGATCGAACATCTCTGGAGAGACTTGAAAATAGCTGTGCAGCAACGCTCCCAATCCAACCTGACAGAGCTTGAGAGGATCTGCAGAGAAGAATGGGAGAACCTACCCAAATACAGGTGTGCCAAGCTTGTAGCATCATACCCAAGAAGACTCGATGCTGTAATCGCTGCCAATGGTGCTTCAACAAAGTACTGAGTAAAGGGTCTGAATACTTATGTAAATGTGATATTTTTATAAATATGCTACAATTTCAAAAAACCTGTTTTTTGCATCGTCATTATGGGGTATTGTGTGTAGATTGATGAGGGGGAAAAACTATTTAATCAATTTTAGAATAAGGCTGTCACACAACAAAAAGTCAAGGGGTCTGAATACTTTCTGAATGCACTGTATAGAATGCATTTTGTATATCTTTGTCCATTAGTTTCTAGAAGATAGACCATATGGTTCAAGAGAAAAAAAAGCCTAATGAATGAAAAAAGCATCTAATCAACAATGGTATTTTCAATGAAGGTCTAGATTCAATCAGATGAAGCGTTAACCGGCGAGAGCGTTGGAGCTTTCAAATCGGTGAGCAGCTGTTCGTGATCACCGTCAGCAAGCCACACCCATCCCACTAGCTTTAAAAGTTTAGAACGAGAAAGTCTTACGCTAGAAATAATTATGCTCAAATTGAAAATCATTAAACAAAATAAATAGGATTTCTAATGAGCCTAATCAAAGGTTTAGATTAAATCTCGCATTCCAGTGTTCGAGCTTGTAAAGAAGGCTGCATGTGATTTTCCCTTAATGCAACTCCGTGCAGCCAATGGCAACGTCCGCTTTACGTATAATGCCAGGATCCTGATTTAATAGAGCCCCTAACTCTATTTTCAATTAAACTCTTCCCACTATTTACTTTTTTTCACAACCGCCACCAGTTTGGCGCCGAAACATTTACAACAAAGACATGTTGACATAGTAAAATAAATAAAAGGGTGTAAATAATATGAAGCATGTTTAATGCTGAAACCCTCATATTAAACATCAATGCTATTGACTAAGTTGATGGGTAATATTTAGGATCAGGTTTTAAAGCTTTGTCATTCATTTTTTATTTTAAAATCATCTTATTTTATTATTATTTTGATTATTTTCTATAATATTTTACATGTGATAAGGCCACATAGAGGACCAGAGATAATTACAGACACCTGTGATAATCTGAAGTACCCATAAAGGCCACTAGATGTAATGTGATGAAAAACCTTGAAAGTTACAAAAATTCTGGTAGTTTACTGGTAAACTTTGAAAGTTACCAGTAATAGACCCATGGGGCGGCGCACAATTGGCCAAGCGTCGTCCAGGGTAGGGGAGGGAATGGCTGGCAGGGATGAAGCTCAGTTGGTAGAGCATGGCGTCTGCAACGCCAGGGTTGTGGGTTTCGATTCCCACGGGGGGGCAGTATGAAAACTAAAAAAAACTAAAATAATGTATGCACTCACTAACTGTAAGTCACTCTGGATAAGAGCGTCTGCTAAATGACTAAAATGTAAATATACCCTCCCTTTGCAAATCCTAATGTCACACCTTTGTAGACCACAAACCGATTTTTCTTAATTTATTGATGACTGAAAAAAAAAAGCATTGTTATCACACCATTATACACACTGTCAATATCAACCGCAACTTCCAAAAATATACTGATACATGTTATGAGACTCTGGCAAGCTGGAGAGTGGAGTCAGAGAATCAGAGAGTCAGAGAATCAAGGAATCCGAGAGGAAGAATGAACTACTGCATGCTCTGTCTTTCCCCACAACGACCTGTCTGTCTGTCTGTCTGTCTGTCTGTCTGTCTGTTGGTTTCTGTCTGTCTCTGTCTCTCTCTCTGTGTCTGTCTTCTGTGTGCAAGCTCTTGCTGAACTACATATCAACTACGTCCAATCTTTTGGGTAATTTGGGCAGCACTTTCTTTTACAGTTCCTTTGTACCCTGAAGTACTGTGGCATGAAGGCACTGTAATAAAAAGTGTAACAGGGTGGGGGTAATGATTGTTCTTCAGCCCAGGTCCTAAGGAGTGCATGCATTTGTTCCAGCCTAGTTTTAATACACCTGAATGAACCAATCAACTAATCATCACACCATCGAATCAGGTGTGACAGTGCTGGACTATAACAAAAGCCTGCACTCCACTAGCCTGGAATTTACACTGAATATTGCTACATTTACAATATTCAGTGTGGATTCCAAGCTAGCTCTCCAGGACCAGGTTTGAAGAACACTGTAATACGTTATTACCAAAGACAGGGTCCAGGGCAGAGGCAGGGTTCCCTGGTCTGTGCCGGCCTGATCACCAGATCCCTCACCACCTCTACAGTCCCAAACACGGGGAACATTCTCTCTGTGAAGGTCTCGTTGTACGTGTAGATGTGGGACCTCTTCTCCACATCGTAGAAGGAGAGCTGGCCCTGCTCATAGTCCAGGTAGACCCCCACCTTCCTGGGGACCAGCATCTGGGGCCAGCGGGGTGGAGGGCACCGTCAGGGCCTTGAGGTCCGAGCCCCTCTCCAGCCTCAGGGTGAGGTAGCCCGTCTGTGTGTTGAGGGCACTGTAACCCTTCCTCTGGGCGGAGGCTTTAGCCACGCCCAGCCGCCAGTCCCGGTCGCCCACTTCGACTTCCCAGTAATGGCGCCCGGAGATGTAGCCCTCGTTTCCCAGAGCGCACAACCACCAGCCGTCGAAGCGGCGCATGCAATTAGGGATGTCTTGCTGCTCCAGGCCACAGCGCATGCGCTTGGCCGTCATCAGAGATGAGGAGGTCAGGGTTGGCTGTCTTGGGGTCAAGGGTCACTTCCTCTGCAGCATCACAGATCCAGTTCCATACTGAGAAAATAAGTTGTTGTTAGGGTAAGAAAAAGGATGACTGTATTTACAGCTTACTTTACTCCTCAATAAAAATGTAGTCCAGCATTAGTTTCACATACCATTGTGGGGAATGTAGCAGGCTGCATCTGAAAGTGTAAACAAAACTGGGGTTAAAATACTGTCAAAGTTCAATCTTAACCCATTTTCTGTTACTTAAACGCCAAGTACTCAGGCACGATTGTCCATTCCGCTTCTTTAAAATGTTTCATCAATACCAATTGGCAGCACTTCAAGTGATTCATCAACCATCCCAGCAAACATGCCCACATTGGGCACAATGTGGGCCCAATGCGGGCTAAAAATATTGGCCCCAAGTAGGCTGATGGGCCTTTGCTCATCGTGCTCCACATTGGCCCCCAAGGCATTGGTCCAGCGTGGGCAGCACATATCTGGTGAGGGCAGAACCTCACTTAGCCTGAAATACGTCTGTCTTTTCCCAGAAAACATGCCCACATTGGCATGATGTCGGCTCCCAATGTGGGCTAAAATAATGGCCCCATGTAGGCTGCACACCCTGTGCCAATGTATATGTTTTAATCTATTATTTAATAGGAATGTATTTATTACAATTCAATGCATACATTTTAACATTTTGAAGCATTAAAAGGTATTTAGTGAATGTGTTACATTGTATCAGAAAGTAACCACTTGGTTGTCAATCATACATACAGTGAGGGAAATAAGTATTTGACCCCCTCTCAATCAGAAAGATTTCTGGCTCCCAGGTGTCTTTTATACAGGTAATGAGCTGAGATTAGGAGCACACTCTTAAAGGGAGTGCTCCTAATCTCAGTTTGTTACCTTTCATTGGCAAACTTCAGACGGGCATGTATATGTGCTTTCTTGAGCAGGGGGACCTTGCGGGCGCTGCAGGATTTCAGTCCTTCACGGCGTAGTGTGTTACCAATTGTTTTCTTGGTGACTATGGTCCCAGCTGCCTTGAGATCCTCCCGTGTAGTTCTGGGCTGATTCCTCACCATTCTCATGATCATTAAAACTCCACGAGGTGAGATCTTGCATGGAGCCCCAGGCCGAGGGAGATTGACAGTTATTTTGTATTTCTTCCATTTGCGAATAATCGCACTAACTGTTGTCACCTTCTCACCAAGCTGCTTGGCGATGGTCTTGTAGCCCATTCCAGCCTTGTGTAGGTCTACAATCTAATCCCTGACATCCTTGGAGAGCTCTTTGGTCTTGGCCATGGTGGAGAGTTTGGAATCTGATTGATTGATTGCTTCTGTGGACAGGTGTCTTTTATACAGGTAACAAACTGAGATTAGGAGCACTCCCTTTAAGAGTGTGCTCCTAATCTCAGCTCGTTACCTCTATAAAATACACCTGGGAGCCAGAAATCTTTCTGATTGAGAGGGGGTCAAATACTTATTTCCCTCATTAAAATGCAAATCAATTTATAACATGCGTTTTTCTGGATTTTTTTGTTGTTATTCTGTCTCTCACTGTTCAAATAAACCTAACATTAAAATTATAGACTGATAATTTCTTTGTCAGTGGGCAAACATACAAAATTAGCAGGGGATCAAATACTTTTTTCCCCTCACTGTATATTTTTTACAAGAAAAACTGTTTAGTTTCACATATGTCACATGCACTTATTTAAGTCTTTTTGAAAACTTCATCAGTGGCAGTGTACAAGACCAAAAACAATTTGGGCATCACAAAACAGAACACTTAAACTGGAACGACATTCTCAGTAACGGTTGCACAAAAATAAATGTGTGCAAACCATGCCCCAAATATTCTAATAAGCCCCTGCCTCTACGTTGTGAAGTAGCAGGACTTGGGCTAGCCTGTGTTGGGCTGGTGTAGCCTAGCCTGTGTTGGGCTGGTGTAGCCTAGCCTGTGTTGGGCTGGTGTGGGCTAGCCTGTGTTGGGCTGGTGTAGCCTAGCCTGTGTTGGGCTGGTGTGGCCTAGCCTGTGTTGGGCTGGTGTGGGCTAGCCTGTGTTGGGCTGGTGTAGCCTAGCCTGTGTTGGGCTGGTGTGGGCTAGCCTGTGTTGGGCTGGTGTGGGCTAGCCTGTGTTGGGCTGGTGTAGCCTAGCCTGTGTTGGGCTGGTGTGGGCTAGCCTGTGTTGGGCTGGTGTGGGCTAGCCTATGTTGGGCTGGTGTAGCCTAGCCTGTGTTGGGCTGGTGTAGGCTTAGTGTGCCCGTCACTCCAGGATTCCGTGATTCTGCAATAGCAAATCGTTTAGCAAAATCAACAATTCCCTGCATATTATGCGAGGCGAGGGCTTGCAAATTTGATAAATCACCACACTATTTCCGCATAAAACAGACAAATCATTGTAATATTATCGCATAAAACTGACCCATCACTGCAGTACAAAAAGAGGACTAGCAATTTCAACCAATCACTGCACATTCACCGCATAATATTGTTCAATCAAGCCACACGTCAACAAAACTTTTTCCCTTGTCGTGACATATTGGAGAAAATCATTGCATATTGCCATGCGAAATGTCAGAATTGCCGCAGCAAAATCAAGCAATTTTGCAAGCAAATATCACCAAAAAAAACCTGCGAAATCCTGGAGGCACTGGCTAGCCTGTGTCAGGCGAATACCCACATGGGGCCGATGGGGTCATGTTTGCTGGGATGTCGCCCTAATGGCAATCAAAGGCTGACCGATTGATTTGTCCATGATAAATTCTATGAATCTGATGTGATCTCTTGAGCACTGATTTAATATTACCCGTCATCTTACTTAGTGGCATAATCAGCTCTCATTGGCATAATCAGCTCTCATTGTCACACATTGACACACCTGTGATCTCCAACAGCTCTCTGTCACTGATTGCTGTAACACTTGTGTAAGGGCAAGATTCAATCAGATTTGCGCTAGCCGACACCTGCATAGCTGTTGTTTTGGCGGTGTCGGAGCTGGAACTGCGTTAGAGCGGTCAAATCCAGAAGTGGCTCCCAGTAATGAGGGGGTTCGATTAATCTGGGCACCCGTGTTGGCGTGATTTGTATCGGGTGAAGGTTGATTGCCTCCCGGGCGTGTGCCAGGTGCCCCGCTCTGTCCGACGACGTAGTCGGCTCAAAACAAAAGTGACGTAATTAAGCACGTGTAGTAATTAGTAGGATTCCGTGTTTTTCAATGCAAAAGTGATTGCTTTTGATAAAAACGCTTTATCTGTCTTCCCAATGCAAACTACTTAGAAAATTCTAGTGATGTTACGTTTGATGCCGGAGCTCTGAGGTATGCGTCGAAATCGCTAAGCAGTGTACTTTGAAGCAGCGTGCGATGCCTGTATCACTTTATCAGAAGCACGTGATCAATGACGTCCGAAGCTTCGTTTTGTTGAACAACCACCTGATTGGTTTGGTTTGGTAGAAGACAAAAAGGCTACCTTGTGTACGCGCTACGGGGTGTGGGACGTTGTCTATAATAATTTGGCTGCTCTAAATTATTTTGACCAGCAGGTGCCACTAGTGTACACTGTGTTTTATCAAAGCCTCGAATAATGAACCAATTTCGACACAATTGGCTGGAAAACCTCAATGCTTCAGGAAGCTTAGTTTCCCCATCACAATAACATGTTAATATGTATTTTATGAAAAAAGAGATGTACAGTTGAAGTCGGAAGATTACATACACCTTAGCCAAATACATTTAAACTCAGATGTCAATTAGCCTATCAGAAGCTTCTAAAGCCATGACATCATTTTCTGGAATTTTCCAAGCTGTTTAAAGGCACAGTCAACTTAGTATATGTAAACTTCCGACTTCAACTGTATGTTTCTGGACAATCTACCATGCTGCCTTGTTGACAAAATGACCAAGCGGCACAGATAACAGTTCGATTTGAGAAGGGCGCTCCTCCCTCCCCACTTTCACCCAATGACATGAAGGGCCTTCCCCGCGGTTCAGCATAATCGAATACACCCATTATACCTATTGTCGACGTTGCCATTGGCTGCACGGAGTCACATTTAGAAATCCCATGCAGCCGTGTTTACAAGTTCGAACACTTGGAATGGAATCTACACCTTGATTAGGCTTCTAGAAGTCATCAGTATTTCATTTCATTTTGATGGCCATTGTTTCTACGTAACCTACACTTTCTCGTTCTGAACGTCTAACGCGAGTGGGATGGGTGTGGCTTCTTGACAACGACCACATGAGCAGCTGCTCACTGATATGACAGCTCCAACTCAGTTCCACTTCCGGCGCCGCCAAAACACTTGCTATGCGGGCGTCGTCCATCCCCGGTTAACTCTTGATCTGATAGAATCTAGGCCTAAAGCTTTCTTGATGACTTCAATGTGTCAAAGCTCTACACACCGATCTTCTGACTCCTCTGTTTTCTGATCAGCCACTGTTTGGTTACGTCCTCCTGCAGACACAGAGGATAGGCTTGAGTGAGTTTATCTGCGGGATGTGTATCTAATCATGCAGATTTAATTGATGAATAATTAATCAGTTAGTTTACATTAACAATTTAGTCATTCAGCAGATGCTGTTATCCAGAGTGACTTACAGTTACACACTAAAAAATGATGGTTCCTCAAGGGTTCTTTGGAAAGGTGATGGTTCTATGTGGAACCATACTGACTCAAAGAACCCTTTGAGCCCTTCAATGTTCGTTGCAGTTCAAAAAAGGGTTCTTTCCTCTTTTAGTGATAATTAAAATGTAGGGGCAGAGGCTCATTCTAATATTTTGAGGAGTGGTTTGTGCACAGCTCTTTTTGTGCAACCGCGAGTGAGAGTGTCATTCCAGTTTATCTGATGTGTTGTGTTACATTATCAAATGTTTTGTCTGACTATGGCCAGTGACAGAGTCTTGTGAAAGACTCCTGTATGGCTTGAATCAATTGAGAATGGTTGACTAAGTCAGTGGTTCTCAATTATCTTCACGGGAACCCAGCTATTCCAGAGCTGGCACACCTGATTCAACTTGTTAATAAATGAAATAATAAAAACCTTTGGCTTATTAACAACATAATATGGCTATTAAAACAGAATTTAAAAAAACCTGTATGGTTCTACAAAGAACCTTGAGATTAAGGAAGGTTCTTTATAGAACCATTATCCATGAAGGTTACAGTGGGGAAAAAAAGTATTTAGTCAGCCACCAATTGTGCATGTTCTCCCACTTAAAAAGATGAGAGGCCTGTAATTTTCATCATAGGTACACGTCAACTATGACAGACAAAATGAGAAAAAAAAATCCAGAAAATCACATTGTAGGATTTTTAATTAATTTATTTTAAAATTATGGTGGAAAATAAGTATTTGGTCAATAACAAAAGTTTCTCAATACTTTGTTATATACCCTTTGTTGGCAATGACACAGGTCAAACGTTTTCTGTAAGTCTTCACAAGGTTTTCACACACTGTTGCTGGTATTTTGGCCCATTCCTCCATGCAGATCTCCTCTAGAGCAGTGATGTTTTGGGGCTGTCGCTGGGCAACACGGACTTTCAACTCCCTCCAAAGATTTTCTATGGGGTTGAGATCTGGAGACTGGCTAGGCCACTCCAGGACCTTGAAATGCTTCTTACGAAGCCACTCCTTCGTTCCCGGGTGGTGTGTTTAGGATCATTGTCATGCTGAAAGACCCAGCCACGTTTCATCTTCAATGCCCTTGCTGATGGAAGAGATTTTCACTCAAAATCTCACGATACATGGCCCCATTCATTCTTTCCTTTACACGGATCAGTCGTCCTGGTCCCTTTGCAGAAAAACAGCCCCAAAGCATGATGTTTCCACCCCCATGCTTCACAGTAGGTATGGTGCAACTCAGCATTCTTTGTCCTCCAAACACGACGAGTTGAGTTTTTACCTAAAAGTTATATTTTGGTTTCATCTGACCATATGACATTCTCCCAATCCTCTTCTGGATCATCCAAATGCACTCTAGCAAACTTCAGACGGGCCTGGACATGTACTGGCTTAAGCAGGGGGACACGTCTGGCACTGCAGGATTTGAGTCCCTGGCGGCGTAGTGTGTTACTGATGGTAGGCTTTGTTACTTTGGTCCCAGCTCTCTGCAGGTCATTCACTAGGTCCCCCCGTGTGGTTCTGGGATTTTTGCTCACCGTTCTTGTGATCATTTTGACCCACGGGGTGAGATCTTGCGTGGAGCCCCAGAACGAGGGAGATTATTAGCGGTCTTGTATGTCTTCCATTTCCTAATAATTGCTCCCACAGTTGATTTCTTCAAACCAAGCTGCTTACCTATTGCAGATTCAGTCTTCCCAGCCTGGTGCAGATCTACAATTTTGTTTCTGGTGTCCTTTGACAGCTCTTTGGTCTTGGCCATAGTGGAGTTTGGAGTGTGACTGTTTGAGGTTGTGGACAGGTGTCTTTTATACTGATAACAAGATCAAACAGGTGCCATTAATACAGGTAACGAGTGGAGGACAGAGGAGCCTCTTAAAGAAGAAGTTACAGGTCTGTGAGAGACAGAAATCTTGCTTGTTTGTAAGTGACCAAATACTTATTTTCCACCATAATTTGCAAATAAATTCATTAAAAATCCTACAATGTGATTTTCTGGATTTTTTTTCCCTCATTTTGTCTGTCATAGTTGACGTGTACCTATGATGAAAATTACAGGCCTCTCTCATCTTTTTAAGTGGGAGAACTTGCACAATTGGTGGCTGACTAAATACTTTTTTCCCCCACTGTATATCAAGAACCATAAAAACACGTAGCAGAACCCTTTTTTGGTGCTATATAGAACTTTCTTTTTAAGGTTCTTTATAGAACCTTAGGAAAGGGTTATTTATAGCACCATACAGGTTCCATTTAGAAACTTCTGAGCATGGTTCTTCATAGAACATTCAAAAAAAGTTTCCATATAGCTATGGTTACAAGTCAAAGAACCCTTATTTGGCACTATATAGAGCCATTTGTTTTTAGTGTGTAGTGCATTCATCTTAAGATAGCTTAGAAAGACAACTGCATTTCACAGTCGTAGTAAGCAAATATTTTCCTCAATAAGTAGCTACCAGCAAATTCAGTGCAAGTAAGAAAATAAAAGTGCGAGTGTTATTTCAAGAAAGGCAATGGTGTTATTATTTTTGTTGGTTCACTCATAGAAACACACACACCTTGTCAGGGCTGTCTGCACTCAGCACGACCCACATGACCAGCTCCATGGCTGGGAGAAGGTTCGGCAGACGGCCCCTCCTCCACTGGAACTCCAGATCATCCAACGTCATCAATACGGCCTCACCGGGCCAGATACTGGGCTAGAGGGAGGTAAGTCCATATGGTTTTTACTTTATACACTAAGAAATGAAAAGAAGAAAGGTAGGAGGGAAGTAGGAGGGAGGAGGAGGAGTCTCCCTCTGAATACATAGCTACATAATAAGTCCTTCATATGCACACTAATGCAACACGGGAGAGATGAGGATGAACTGGGACAGAGAGCAGCTCCTTAATCACAGAGACGGAGGGATAGAGGGATAGAGAGAGAGAGAGAGGGGGGGGGGGGGGGGTAATTGGAGCAACAGCAAGTCTTTAATCAAAGAGGTGTAACAGCCTTGGAATCTGACAGAGGCAGAAATGGAAGGAGAGGGAGAGAGAGCGAGAGAGATAAAGAAAGAAAGAAAGAAAGAAAGAAAGAAAAAAGAAAGAAAGAAAAGGGCCAAGAGATAGCGACAGCTCTGATAACCGTAAACTACTCGCTGTGCCAGAGAATAAATTAGATAAAGAAGGACAACAATGCGTCTTTGTCAATTTGTCAATAAGTAGTAGCGTAGTAAACCACTTTAGTGATATGTTGGGACACTGGGATTCTCTGCCTCTGACCCTATTACGGGGGCTGAGTCACTGGCTTACTAGGGCTCTTCCATGCCGTCCCTAGGAGGGGTGCATCACGTCGTGCCAGGCTTGTTTCGTTATACTTGACTTGAGTGGGTTGAGTCACTGACATGATCTTCCTGGCCGGTTTTGCGCCCCCCTCGGGCTTGTGCGGTGGAGGAGATCTTCATGGGCTATACTCAGACTTGTCTCAGGGTAGTAAGTTGGCAGTCTGATGATATCCCTCTAGTGGTGTGGGGGCTGTGCTTTGGCAAAGTGTGTGGGGTTATATTTATACCGGGCACAGCCAGAAGAGGACTTGCCACCAATCAGAGCCTGGTTCCTCTCTAGGTTTCTTCCTAGGTTCCTGCCTTTCTAGGGAGTTTTTCCTAGCCACCGTGCTTCTACATCTGCATTGCTTGCTGTTTGGGGTTTTAGGCTGGATTTCTGTATATGCACTTTGTGAGATCTGCTGATGTAAAAAGGGCTTTATAAATACATTTGATTTGATTTGACTCTAGTGACTCAATCCCTCCCACGTTCCTTACCTCTGGTCTGTTTCTTAGCTGGTGTGTCCAGTCCATGATGACCCGTTTGTGGCTTCCGATGTCATACTCTCCCACTGTCTCCATCATACACAACAGGTGACCATTCCAGTCCCTCTTCTCTGGCCATTCAGCCTGCAGCTCCGTCTGCATGCTCCTTGGCTGCTAAATCAAAAGAGTCCGTAAAGAGGTCATGAAGTAAAAACTGCAATAACAAGTCTCATATCAAGGTCTAATAATAGTTTATCAACAAAGAAAACATTGACAAAGGATATATTTCATGAAAAAAAAAAGGCTTTATAATGTAAAACTTTCAAACAGCTTTCAAACATCAGTGCTCACCTGGGCTCTCTTCTCTAGCACGGCAGCCCACTCTACTATGAATTGTCTACACACACCGGGAGGCCAGTTGTCTTCACTGGTCCAGATGTGGGCTAGGACCTTTGACCTCTGAGAAGATAATATAGTAGAGAGAGAGTGGTTGTTTGTGTGTGTTTGTGTGTGTGTGTGTGTCTTTGTGGATGTGTGTACCTGGCACAGTTTGTTGAGTTCCCTGGCCAGTTCCATTATGAACAGCTGACTCTCCACTAAAGATTCTTTCTTCTCATTTGGCACTTTCTTCCGAGACTCCTAGAACAGAGAGAGCAATGGATGAGAGAGAAAAAGAAGGGGAAAGGTGAAGGGAAAATTACTACACAGATAAACCACAGATGGGAAACGAACCAATCCTTTCTTTCTCTTGACAAGGACAAATATCAGTACTATTGAGAGGTGTCTGAGAGTTGAGAGGTGTCTGAGGGTCCTACCTTGAGGCGGGTCTTGATTTTTGTCGCCGGCTCGATGAGGAACTGGAGGCACTCCTTCATCATGTTGGCAGCTGGGGGGGAGAGAAAGGTCCTGTGGCACAGAGATTCACAGCTTCAAAACTCTGGCACAGTGATACACAGCTTCAATACTCTGGCACAGAGATACACAGCTTCAATACTCTGGCACAGTGATACAAAGCTTCAATACTCAGGCACAGAGATACACAGCTTCAATACTCTGGCACAGTGATACACAGCTTCAATACTCTGGCACAGTGATACACTGCTTCAATACTCTGGCACAGAGATACACAGCTTCAATACTCTGGCACAGTGATACACAGCTTCAATACTCTGGCACAGTGATACACAGCTTCAATACTCAGGCACAGAGATACACAGCTTCAATACTCTGGCACAGTGATACACAGCTTCAATACTCTGGCACAGTGATACACAGCTTCAATACTCTGGCACAGAGATACACAGCTTCAATACTCTGGCACAGTGATACACAGCATCAATACTCTGGCACAGTGATACACAGCTTCAATACTCTGGCACAGTGATACACAGCTTCAATACTCTGGCACAGAGATACACAGCTTCAATACTCTGGCACAGTGATACACATCTTCAATACTCTGGCACAGTGATACACAGCTTCAATACTCTGGCACAGAGATACACAACTTCAATACTCTGGCACAGTGATACACTGCTTCAATACTCTGGCACAGAGATACACAGCTTCAATACTCTGGCACAGTGATACACAGCTTCAATACTCTGGCACAGTGATACACAGCTTCAATACTCTGGCACAGTGATACACACAGCTTTAGAATTAGCTGGCACTCATTCTATCAGTGTTGGGCCTGAGTTATAGCTGACTGGGATCCAATGGCACCTCAAATCGATGAGACGGCAGAATACGGAAATGTATGAGTAGAGGACAAGTGGGTACAGTAGGGAAGTGTGTGTGTGTGTGTGTGTGTGTGTGTGTGTGTGTGTGTGTGTGTGTGTACTGCGCAACTTCTAAATCACTACATTGCAGTAGAGGTCCTCATTAGGACGGCCTCACCTAAAACTGGCTTGAGAGAGAGAGAGAGAGAGAGAGAGAGAGAGAGAGAGAGAGAGAGAGAGAGAGAGAGAGAGAGAGAAGCTGCAGAGTAATATGTTTTCAGGATAAGTGTGTGTGTGGGTCGATGCATCTCAATTATGGCCTTGGTGTCAGGCAGATATCCCAAGGAGATGTGAAGCTGCAGCTGAGAGGGTTTTTTCACAGCCCACAGAACAACCGTGTTGAATCAGCAGCATCCTCCTGGCCTGCACCCTGCAGTTAGTTTGATGTAGAAGAGGGATTTGCTTAACCTTTTCTGATGAAGGCAGCAGTCGGAAAGGGTCAAAGATGATCATTAACTTTCCAAGGAGAACACAGTAGAATAACCATGCTGCTGGGTGTTTGGAAATGTTGGCAAACAATGAATTTTCACGGCTACACTAAAACAATTCCTGTAAAATGTACATTAACTTACTGGCAGTAATTGACCAGTAAGTTCCTGTAATTTATTTTACAGTACAGCTACTGTAATCCATTTTACGGTAATCCATTTTATGGTACCAAAAATGTTTAGTGTAATCTCATTTACAGTATATTACTGGAATTACCCGCGCATCGGCATATTACCCAGTGTTCTTTGCACGTTTTCATTTTTACATTTAAGTCATTTAGTGGATGCTCTTGTCCTTAGCAACTTACAGTCAGTGCATTCAACCAAGGTTGATTTAATTTTTTAACATCATAGTCATAGCAAGTAAAACTTTTCTTTAACCTTTACTGAAAATGTTGTTGTAGTTAAGGATAAATTGGTCTTCAAAATAATTATAATTACAACAAGATATCTTATGATAAGATAGTGCCAATACAATGCTGAGATATTCACGGTAACTTGATGCCAGAGCAATGAAAACACAGTAAAATGACTATTAAACTGTAAGAAAATTATTTCTACAGTATATTACTGTATTACAAGGGATTAGAGCAAGCAGGTTAATTAATACTAGTTGTTTTATATCACTTGCACTTCTAGAGGCCTAAATAAAGGCTTCCAAACTAACCGTGATTACAGGGCAAAACAGAGCAAATGGACAGGGGTAAATATTCAACCATTACAGTTTTTTTCGATTGCTAAAAAGCATTGTTCAATACTGCGGATACATGTGCAAAACTCTAAATACAGTTATCAAAACAACTTGGCAATGCAGATCCTACATGTCTCTAAAGCAAATCTTTCTACCAAATGAAAGTTAACAGTCTCTCAGGACATGCACACTGTGTCATCCATAGTATCATGACCTACATGAACTCTAAAAACAGCTACCACTTGAAAATGTGTCAATTTGTCTTCAATATCATATTTTTTTGGGAGAACCAACAGTCAGTTTTACAAAAGAAGAGTGGCAAACATGTACTGTATAGAATGTCCTGCAAGATATGTAAAGAAATAAAGCAGAAAGGCTGCAATATGCTTCAATACAATTTACTGTATTTTTGCAAATGACTGTATTTTGCAAATTGCAGAGTAATTCCAAAATACGCAAAAATAAATAATTACAGTACTGTTAAACAAAGTGTATACACACACTATGAATATGCATAGCATATTGTCAAAATGAAACAGATACATAACAATGCTAGTCAACCCTGTCTGCTGCATTGGGCCACAAGTTCTCATCCACATCACACCGTATGGCCTCTCGCGCAATACACCTGGGAAATAATCTCTTTGCATGCCTGAACCATCTCTGGCAATCTTCTGCAGAGATATCCAGGCATCCTGCATTCATTGCATCCAAGAGTGACATTTGATAATGTGGATGGTGGTCATAAACTTTCCACCTCCATGAGGGAAATAATTATTATATGGGGTTGAGGAAAGGAGAGTAAGGGGGGAGGAAATGACACCATCCTGGGATGGGCTGCAAACCACTCTGTGACTGCATGGGAGTGGTGAAATGCCACATTGTCCCATACAATCACCCAGGTTTCCATATTTCTTCTGACTTGCCCTCTTTCTTCACCTGGCAAAAGCCTTCCATAGAGGTCATCTATGAATGAAATGAAGCGCTCTGTGTCGAATGGCCCAATTAGTGGTTTATGTAACAGCAATCCTTTAGAGGATATTGCGGCACACATTGTGATGTTGGCACCCCTCTGGCCCGGGACATTCACTGTTGCTCTTTTCCCAATCACATTCCTTCCACGTCAGCGTGTTTTGGCCATGTTAAAACCAGCCTCATCCATAAAGACGAACATGTGGGGTATTGGCCTGACTTCAAGCTCCATGACACTCTAAAATATTGTAAATCCACAGGGCAACATAACAGTTATTCTATAACAGTAGTTTACATTATAGTATACTGTAACTGAAATCACTGCTGAGTCTGCAGTGCTCTGGTGGGTTTTGTTTACAGTAAAAACAGCACTGTATTACAGGATATAGTCATCTTACCTGGACATATTGGTACCAGGGTTCCTTGACACGATCAGAGTTCCTCTCAAAGGGAACAGTGTACACCTGCTTCATGCTGATATGATGCTTTGTCAAGACTCTAGCAATGGTTGTCGTGCTTACACTTTCAACATTTTGAAATGTATTTTTGTCTGCCAACACTCTCTCTTGAATTTCTCTGAGTTTTATGGCATTGTTGCTAATTACCATGTCAACAATTACAGCTTCCTGCTGAGCAGAGAAAATCCTACCTCTCCCCCCTCCATTTGGTAACCGTTGGGTCCTAAAACAGAAATAAAATTACACAAGTGGTTCGGAGAGCTTTTGCTCGATTTACTACTCTACAGTAATATTCAGTACAGTTAGATGCCCATGCAGGATGCATATCTTACCTGTTAGTTTGCTGGAAGGTTCTTATAATAGATGACACAGTTGAGCGTTGCAAATTTGGCTGCACTCTGAGACCAGCATCTCTCATTGATAGACCATGATTGACAACATGATCGATGATTGTAGCCCTAATCTCATCTGACACTACAACTCTGGGTCTTCCCCTCAGTCGTCTTCCACCACGGATACGTAATCCTCTGCCTCTCCCGGCAACTCTCCCACCTCTGTAAGCCACTACACAATCTCTGGCTGGGTCCATGTTTATGTAAAATATATTCCAAAGATGTCCGCTTTTGTAGAGATGGTAATGACATAAAAATGGAAAACACCTGGGTAGGTCTTCAGTTACGTAATGTAGAATGAAAATCAGCTGTGAATAATTAAGAGTTATTATTATTATTTTAGGATTTCTATTTTGCTTTTACTGTAGCAAAGTAAAAAAATTACAGTCTAATTCAAATTTCAGTAGCTTTTGAACTTGAGTTTAACAGTTTTGATGGGGGTATCTTAACATTTGCAAAATGGTCTGTAGATACAGTGGGGGAAAAAAGTATTTAGTCAGCCACCAATTGTGCAAGTTCTCCCACTTAAAAAGATAAGAGAGGCCTGTAATTTTCATCATAGGTGAGAGAAAAAAATCCAGAAAATCACATTGTAGGATTTTTAATGAATTTATTTGCAAATTATGGTGGAAAATAAGTATTTGGTCAATAACAAAAGTTTCTCAATACTTTGTTATATACCCTTTGTTGGCAATGACACAGGTCAAACGTTTTCTGTAAGTCTTCACAAGGTTTTCACACACTGTTGCTGGTATTTTGGCCCATTCCTCCATGCAGATCTCCTCTAGAGCAGTGATGTTTTGGGGCTGTCGCTGGGCAACACGGACTTTCAACTCCCTCCAAAGATTTTCTATTGGGTTGAGATCTGGAGACTGGCTAGGCCACTCCAGGACCTTGAAATGCTTCTTTCGAAGCCACTCCTTTGTTGCCCGGGCGGTGTGTTTGGGATCATTGTCATGCTGAAAGACCCAGCCACGTTTCATCTTCAATGCCCTTGCTGATGGAAGGAGGTTTTCACTCAATATCTCACGATACATGGCCCCATTCATTCTTTCCTTTACACGGATCAGTCGTCCTGGTCCCTTTGCAGAAAAACAGCCCCAAAGCATGATGTTTCCACCCCCATGCTTCGCAGTAGGTATGGTGTTCTTTGGATGC